GACAGGAAAGTTGGTTCACTGTGTTGGGCCAAAAACTTTTTCCTGTCAGAATCCATCTTGCACATTTATAAATCTACCATTCATCTGTGTACTGAATGTTATTGTTATATCTGATCTGATAGTCCTACTGCTCATCTAGAGATTCTTGACAAAATCCAGAGAATGGTCCGCAATAAAATCGACCCTGACAAAATATCATCTCCAGTCATTTTCTTATTGATGTAAATATCGTTTCCCTCTGTCTGTTCCACAGATATTTTCATGGTGACTGCCTGGATGAGATTTTTTTCCTGATGTCCAGACTACATTAATTTAAGCATCCTACTTGATTTATAATTAGATCTCACAGTTTTATTATTGAACTAGCTAGAAGCAACCACCACTTCTATGCTAACAGTTTAAAAAAACGAACTTCCCATCCGCGGAAGTACTTTCTGATTTCTTGCTTCCCTGATAACTACAATCTACAAAATCTACCAAAATTTAAATGCAATGTCAATCACTACCCGTGTTCTTGAAGCCTGTTTCTTTTTTGTACTTTCCTCTATCCTCCCCATTTTCAATGTTCTCGTTCTTCTTCACTCCCTGTAAACCCCCTGCTTTGCGCCTTCTTGGACTCACCATCTTCGCTAAGATGAAGTGGAGTGATTATATTGAATCAATTGCTAGATCTACTGCAAGGAAAGTTACTTCACCAGAATCCATCTTGCACATTTATAAATCTACCTTTTGTCCATGCATTGAATACTGCTGCCGTGTCTGGTCTGGTCTGGTGCTCTTGCCGCATATCTCGATGACAAAATTCAAACAAGAGTTTGTAGTGCAATCGATCATGACCTGACATGTCGACTTCAGTCACTTTCTCACCGACATGATGTGCCTTACATCTTTTCTACAAATATTTTCATAGTAACTGTTCTGATGAGCTTTTTTCCCTAGTGTCTCGACTATATGAATTTAAGCGTGCTACTAGATTGGCAATTAGGTTTCAATTAAATGCAACTGCCACTTCTACTCTAACTTTCTTTTCTCTCACTTCTCACTTGTGGAAGCCCATCCAATTTTTTACTTCTCTACCACATATAATATTAAAAAAATTAAATGCAGCGCTAATCGCCATCTTATGTCTTCTTGAACTCTGTTCCTTTATTGTCTTGTCTTTGGTTCTCATTAAAGTCTTCTCATTCTCTTTCATTCCACGTAACACACTGCGTCTTTGATTGGGGGTGAAATGATTTGTTTTAAAAGTTTTAGAAAGTGGGTCCAGAACTTTTCAGTACCACTTTGTAAGCTGGCTCCAGTTCCCTTCAAACTCTACAACTATTGTCTCGCTTCTTCCTGTTTTCGAGCTTGTTGGAAATCCTCTTCTGAGGTTCCTGTTTTTAAGAACTCTGGAGAACCTTCTGACACCTCTAACTACTGCCCTATTAGTCTCCTACCGCTTTTCGTCAAATTTTCGAGCATTAATCAATGCTGAAGTGGTTAAGCTTCTTACGTCTCACGACCTACTCTCTGACAAACAATATGGCCTCCGTTTTGCCTGATCTACCGCTGATGTGCTAATGGCCATCACTGAATATGTATATCAAGCGCTTAATAATAACAGTGAAGCTCAAGCTCTGGCTATAAATATCTCAAAGGCGTCTGACAGAGTTTGACATACTGGTCTTCTATGTAAGTTCCAGGGCTACAGTATTACTGGACGTGTGTTTGATTTAATTCAACCGCTTCTACCAAATCGTGAAATGAAGGTCGTCCTGAACGGGCTCGCTTCCAGATCCTTCCATCGAACACGGGTATCCTCCCCCAAGATTCTATCTCAGGATAGAGCCTCCGGGGGACACCTGCGTTCCAACGCTGTTTCTGATCTTCATCAATGATTTCCCTAATATTATCAGTTCCCAAGTGGGATTTATGCAGATGAAACTACCATTTACTCCTGTCTCAATAGCAAACCCATCAGATCTGACAAAGGTAACCTGATCTCTGCTTTTGAAAAGGATTTCCAATCAGTGGTTAACTGGGGCAGGAAATACCTTGTAAATGTTAATGCTTTCAAAACGAAACTGCTCTCATTTAACCACCGTAGAGAAAATTTCCTAACACGATGGCCGATGCTAGACCCATGGAGAGCACCACACTGCGTCTTCTTGGCCTCTGTTTTTCAACAGACTTGAGGTAGAACGACTACACTGAATCAATAGCTGCATCTACTGCTAGGAAAGTTGGGTCAATGTGTTCTGCCAAAAGTTTTTTTTTTCTCGTCAGAATCCATCTTGGACTTTTACAAATCTATCATTCATCCGTGCACTCAATACTGATGCCATATATGGTCATATGCTCTTGCTACCCATCTCGAGGCTCTTGACAAAATCCAAAGAAGGATCTGTAATTGAATCTATCCTGACAAGGCATCTCGACTTCAATCACTTTCTCACCGACATGACATGTCTTCCCACTGTCTTTTTTAAAAATGTTATCATGACTATTGCTCTAACGAGCTTTTATCCTGTTACCCGCACCGAGTTTAAGCGTGCTTCTAGATTGGCATATAGATCTCATCTTTTTACTGTTCAATTAGGTAAATGTAACCACCATTTCTACTCCTACAGTTTCTTTTCAGGCACTTCCCACCTGTGTAACTCCCTTCCGCTTCGTTGCTTCTCTGATAACTACAATCTTCAAAAATTTAAATGCAATGTCAATTGCCATCTTCTATTTTCTTCAGCTTTTATCCTTTTCTCGGTCTCCACCTATACCCACTCTTTTCTGTCACATTCACTCTCTGTAACCCCTGCGTACTAGTGGCACTCACGCCATGCTCCACATTTTAACATTCTCGATTCTCTCCAGATGTATCGGGAGCATGATAACAGAAAATGGCATAGAAAGTTAAAAAGAATGCCGTTCTCATGGCACTAGCCGACAAATAGAGTGGCCCTGAGATAACCAGCTTCTTCAAATAGACGAGATCTAACGTGTTTAAGCTCGGGAAGCTGGAGACGTCTGACCGGACCATGTTACCCGTGACCAAGAGAAAGAAAAACTTAAGCCGTTCGACGTCGTAGCGTCGGTCGAGTTCGTCCGGCAGTTCCAGGTCGTCATCAAACACAACCTAAGGAAATTGGACACCGAACATCTGAAGTTATGTTTCTAGTTGTGTTTCTCATCTTAATGACAAGAATTTTAACCAGTAAGAACGATACGTGCCTCTGTGTGGATCCCAGGGAGGCAGTTATGGTGGTGCACACGAAGTTCACATCATCTGTGATACACACACGCGCGCACACGTCTATCTATCTATCTATCTATCTATATATATATATATATATATATATATATATATATATATATATAGTAGTAGTAGTAGTAGTAGTAGTAGTAATAATAATAATGTTATAAGTGTAAGAAATTATACTCGTCAGGAAAACCTTCGGTGTCTTGATTTGCAAATAATCAAACCAATACCAAAGGGGGAAAAAGTATAAAAAAAAGAAAGAACCAAGAACATGTACGTTAGCCGAAAATAAGTGTCTAGCATGCAAATCCAAAGTCCAAAGAAAAAAAAGCCGATACGAGTAAGAAATAACTAAATAGAGTGCTCAATACGGTAAGTAGAGCATACCTAGTTAAACCTAGAGAGCCAGACAAACCTACGAAGGTTTCATCTAAGCGGATCGTCAGGGAAGGCTGGCTGAAAAGGTAACAAAAGAACGGAATATTTATAGTCAATAAACAAAAAACATAACCACATGACCAAAATAGAACAAACAAACAACGGGGCATGGGAGGGGAAGGGAGAAGCATTTATTCAAATAGAGAGAAAAAAAAAAGGGTTTGTTTGTTGTTGTTTTATTTTGGTCACGTGGATATGTTTTTTGTTTATTGACTATAAGTATTCCGTTCTTTTTTACCTTTTCAGCCAGCTTTCCCTGTCGATCTGCTTAGGTGAAACCTTCATAGGTTTGTCTGGCTCTCTAGGATTAACTATATATATATATATATATCTATATCAATTCATCCTAAGCAAGGTGATAATGTCCCTAAGAAGCAAAAGGATACTAAGAGTGAAAGAAAATGAAACAAACCGGAAACACAATCCTAAACATGAAATAATGGATAAACCTCTACTCCTGTTAAAAAAAAAAAACTTTTGACAGTTTCAGTTATTATTAAGAACTGGGTGTTGTCAGTGTGATAGACAGGATTATATTTTGTTCGTGACAACATCGCATTCTTTGGGAAGCGCTAGGATTCAAATTAATCCAAAGTGATGTCATGCAGTAAAATGATTACACGAAGTACGGCCGTACCAGAAAAATACATGAAATATTTATACGTATTATTATTATTATTATTATTATTATTATTATTATTTCCAGTGTAGATTAAATTTCGATATCAATAACCAGAAAGTGATATTAAGTTCTTACATTGGCCACACATGTATTACACTTGTTCGGTGGTTATCCTGTCACTTGTGGAAACGCAGTGTGTCGATTATCACACCACAATCAACCGAAATACAATTAACATAAGATAAATATTGGTAGAGAATACACAAATACTATACATCATTCGCCGTAACGAAAGACTCAAGATTTTAGAAGCTATTGTTATAATAAAATAATATGTATTAAATATCTTTTACTACTGAAGATTTTATCATAAAATGTGTATAAATTTATAAAAAATAACTGGCAAAAAATATAAAAATAATATAATATTTATAAAAATAACTGTTTTGAGGGTATTTAATGGCGAATATTGTGTGTTGAGCGAACTCACTAATATTAATTAGAACTTACATTAATTAGAAGGAATGTTCAACCGGACTAGAGCCCGAGACGCCTGCTAAGCTCATAAGGTATGCTTTCCTGATAGAAATATACAGTCGTTTATATATATATATCTATACTCGCATGCATGTATATGCATTTACTAATCAGTAGACAAATATGAACAAGTATAGTCAAATAGCTAATCAGATAGATTGATACATAGATAGATAATGAACAGGCTGTGATAGATAGATAGATAGATAGATAGATAGATAGATAGATAGATAGATAGATAGATAGATAGATAGATGTAAACAGACTGAGCTAAGTATGAATATAGATAATAAACATAGATAGATAGATAGATAGATAGATAGATAGATAGATAGATAGATAGATAGATAGATACGTACATACATACATAATGAACAGGCTGTGATAGATAGATAGATAGATAGATAGATAGATAGATAGATAGATAGATAGATGTAAACAAACTGAGCTAGATCTGAATATAGATAATGAACAGAGATAGATCATGAAAACGCTGAGATAGATACATACATACATACATACATACATACATACATAATGAACAGGCTGTGATAGATAGATAGATAGATAGATAGATAGATAGATAGATAGATAGATAGATAGATAGATAGATGTAAACAGACTGAGCTAGATATAAACATAGACCGGTAGATAATGAACATAGATAGAGAAATAGACAGACAGACTGGCAGGTAGACAGACAGGTGCGTGCGTGCGTGCGTGCGTGCGTGCGTGCGTGCGTGCGTGCGTGCGTGCGTGAGTGACATGCAGGCAGGCGTGTATTTCGAGGTTTATGTCAATATAAACATATGATCGAAATGTGTCCATGAGATTTATCCATTAAGAAAATATCTGTGCATTCTACACGCTCAAGAGAAAATCTGGTCTCAGCGCATTGCTGAGAATTAGTTCCCCCGCTTCGATAACAGCAGACCTGGTAGTGACTACAACAGCTACAACTGCTAGTACTACGTCTGCTGAAAGTGCAAAGACTCACCAGCACATTTACGAATGCTTCGACTAATTCCATAATAGTCAGCTTTTAGTTACCCAAATTTTAATTACCCAAATTGTATTCGAAAAATACGCCATTTATTTATTATTTAATGAGACCCAATAGCCTGCATCCTACCCTACCCCCCTCTGTTATATTTTTCTGTCTGTTGCGCTCCATTTTTTTCTCTTCGTTTTATCCTCTCAACTAAATAATGAACTTATATTTGAAACAAAGATGGAACTTGAACAGCAAGAAACCAGTTGAATTAGTTGAATTGTGCATCTTTTCATGGCGCCTACGATAATTCTATGATATTATGCAGACACACACACACACTGGGAAAAGCAACAGCGAAATAATTCATGCATCTATAAAAAATCGCTTAACAGAGTTATCAGAAAATGAGTTAATGGCATACGATTATGCTCAGTGTTATTCGCTCCTACTCACTCTGTTAACCTATTTGTCTCTCTCTCTCTCACTCCCTCTAATATATATATATATATATATTATTTTATTACCTATACTCGGGCAGTGTGAAAAAAATCCAGATAATACAATTTGTAAATAAAAAATATTAAACATTAAATATTAAACATATATATATATATATATATATATATATATATATATATATATATATATATATAACAAAAGAGGATATTCGCAGGAGCGTCTTTTAATTTTTTTTTAATTTCATGTAACTACACAACTTTTCGCTTTTGTTTATCATCACTTGTCTTGATAAATTCAAATGACGAAACGCGTCGGCAAAGATTAAGTACTATTTTCCTATTGTCTATTTTATTCAAATTGTCTTATCTACAGATATATTCTGAGAACTTTATAACATACACACACACACATATATATATATACATGAATATGTTGTCAAGCTGAATTTGTTCCTATTTATATCTATCTATATAAATATATATATAAATATATATACATATAGATATAAAATTATATTTCTAAACATGTAATGAATTTTTATTTATAAATTCAGCATACTTTTATCATATCTATTAAAAATAACGTTTAAATGATATATATATATATATATATATATATATATATATATATCGTAAGTGGATATTTCCACATATTATTAAAAAGAAATAATTTTTTTCTTGTTTTTCGATGTTAAATATTCTCAATATTAGACATTCTCTTTTTGTGTGTTAGAGACCTAAATGTCTTCCTTGAACAGTCAGTGAAAAAGTTCTGCGTGAAGGGTAATAAAACAATTAAGACTGGTCCGTGAAAGGATTAGGAAGATCTCTATATTCTTATCTTTTAATGACCCCTCTGTGTTTTTAGATCTATTTCCATTTTTTGTGTTTTTGTCTGCATGCGTACGCATACGTATATTCCCTCTCCATACATACCTACTGACTCACATCATATTATAAGGAATTACTATACACATATGTACACATATACATACACACACATACATACAAACACACACACACACTTCCTATGTTGTGTAGGATTCGCGTGTGTGCCCATGGGCAGTTTTGTTCTTGTTAACATGTGTATATATATATATATATATATATATATATATATATATATATATATATATATATATACCTGTATGCGCGTGTACATGCGCACTCCCTCTATATACATAGATACTGTCTTATTTAAGGAATTAGGATACACACATACACAAACATATACACACATATATGCATACATACACGCATACACACACAAACACACACACATACACACACTTCCCATGTAGTCTAGGGTTTGCGAGCGCGCCTGTGAGTTATCTATTGTTTTTGCCAATATGTGTATACATATTCGTGCTCTACATTGTTTTGTTTTTGGCGCCATTTATATTTTGATGTTGTGTTGCTTTTGCATTTTTATGTTTTAAATTAAGTTTAATGATTATTAAATCTTTCTTTAAAGTTTGTTTCTGTAGCTCTTATGTAAGTTTTTTTTTCTTTTGCGTTCATGTTGTTTGTTACGGTGTCTTTATATATTATGTTGTTGGTTAGGCATGTGTTAAGCGAGCAATTGTTTTTATTTCGACTACTGCATTTGTGGTTGTCGTTTTGGCGATTTATGTTATTGTGGTTATCTTTGTTTTCGTTGCGAATTATTTGGTTATTATTTTCTCCATGTTATTCATGCAGCTGTAACTGATTTTTACTGCATTTTTGTTGATGATTTTTGATAGTTTGTTATATTTGGGGAATTTTTTTTCAATTATTTTGAAGAATATTTTCCCTATTTTTGCTATTATTGTCTTTATTCTAGGGTGGGTTGAACCAGATTATGTTTATTTTTCTATTGCTTGGTTGGTTTGTTTTCGTTTGATATTCTAATTTCTTAATGCTGTTCCATATGCTTTTTGTTTTGGTTGAATATTTTTATGTTGCTGGAATTTGTTGATATTCTTTTGTTTATGAATATGGGTGGTTAGGAGGGTGGTTGAAGTTTTTGTTAATATATGGGGTGTTGTTTGTTTTTATGTATGGTCTGTATGTGTTGTTATTTACATTGAATATCTAAGAAATTTACTATTTTAAGTCAGATTTTATGTCTATTTTAAATTCTAATGTGTTGAAGGTTTCTATAATGTGTTTTCTTATTTTTTTTTCTGTAGTTCTGACGTTGCAATTTCTTACGATTATTAGGCCGTCGTCCATGTATAAACCTATGTCTTTTTTTAATGATGTGGGTTAATTTATTGATGGTGTTCATGCCTATGTGTTCGCAATTTGCGTCGTCATAGTTACCCATTGTTTCGTCAAAGGTACGCCGTTATAGCTATTTTTGCTATTATTAGTATTGCGTTTTTCATATTTTGCTATCGTAGTATAGTATTGATTTTCTGCAATGTTTGATGTTTAGATCGTCGTTTGGGACGTTTATATACAGTTTAGCCAGGTTCATTGCATTGTTTAGTTTGTTTTTATTGATGGAGGAGTAGAAGTCTTTTATATCTAGTTCTATGAAAAAACAGTTTTTTTTTTGTTTTTTTTTTGGTGATGTTGTTAAACCAATTTATTTTTTCTTTTATATTTTTCTATTGGTTTATGTTTAGTATGCTCCTTAACACTGTGCATGTTTTCTACAATTTGTTTGCTTATATTTCCGATGTTGGTTTTTATTGTATATCTAGGGAAGGTTACTGAATAGAATAATCACACGAAGGTTGGTAATGTACGATATTACTTAGGACAAGAACAACACATATAAGATTCGCCAGCGGCGCGTAGAAGTATTCAACTGCTAAAAGTGAATCAAATGAATTCCCCAATGTATCTCCAACTGCAGACCAACATACAGTATTTACTATTGTATTTATGTGAATGGAGACATACCCATTATCGTCTGTACGTATGCTACAACAGTTTTTGTGGAATTTATTAGTCTGCATGTTGATTATTTAAAAAATTGTTTTTGTAGTTTTTTAGTTTAACGAATGGTTCTACTTTAGATAATTGTTTGATTCCGTTGTCTAGTTTTAATTTGGCGTCTATGATTTTTGCTGGTTTTGTAGAATTTGATGATTTCTTTTTCAATTTGTTTTTGTAGTTGTTTTGTTTTTATTTTATAGACAGCTCCGGAGTTGTCAGTTTGTATGCATATTTTTTTATTTGTTTATTATTATTTATTTTTTTTCTGTTGTTTTTTTTATTTGTTTTTTGTTTTACTTGTTTTTAGTTTGATTATTATGTTTATTAGATCGTTTTCAAATGCAGTGAGGTGGGTCTTTTGTGATGGGGCTTTTTATTGACGTAAACCCGAAGTTGTGGTTGTTATTGCTGGTATTGTCGTTATTGACGATGCAGTGCATATATATATATATATATATATATATATATGTGTGTGTGTGTGTGTGTGTGTGTCTGTGTGTGTGTGTGTGTTCATATAAAGCCTGCACTATATGTGCGATATGTTGCAATTTTATTGCCATATATGCATATCTATGAAGAAAATATCTGGAAAAACAAAACAAAAATCCTTAAAATGCGATTATGTTGTTTTAATATGAATGAAATGTCGACGTCTGACGTTTCGGTTTAATAACCTTCTTCAGGACAATATTCATTAAAAATACAATTAACATAATCAGTATAACACGACGAAAACGATGGACATAAAAACAAGTCTTATCCAAAACAGATAAATGAAAATTTTAAATGATCATTCATATTAAAACAACATAATCGCATTTTAAGGATTTTTGTTTTGTTTTTCCAGATATTTTCTTCATTCTGTCGGATTTATATCCATTTATATTTGCTTATCATGCATATCTATATACGTTATACGTTATATATATGCATATGTTCATCATCTATCCCTTCACATCGAGCTAACTGCTTTTATCTCGCTAGCTATCTATAAATGTTCATATATAATTCTGTTCATTTTTAAAACTTTCTTCGGATCTACTGCATTCGCGAGGTCAATACCCTTGAGGGACCTACTCTGAGGTTGACTAATGGCATATGTGAAGCGTTTTGGTTGTATTTCGAAATCCGATTCATCAAGGAGCCTGATCGCAGTGGTAACGAGTTTCGCAGCTATTTGGCTGCCTTCCTTCGACTGAAGCGGCTAGCTGCAAGGGTGAGATTACAGAGGGCGAAGTTCATTTGAAGAGGATCGACATTGAAGTGGGTCGGCAGTGGCAAGTCTCCGGGACTTGTTGGTCTGCCCTACGAATTGTACTTGAGGCTGTCGCACATCTTTGTTCCGATTTTGATAGTGGTTTTCAACTGATTCCGGCCGGGGTCCATCCCCGATCGGATCTCCCAGGGCATGATCACACTGTTGAAAAGGGGCAAGGGTGTTTGGCGGGAATTAGATGATTATAGGCCCATAACTCTACTAAACACAGAGTTAAAGATTTTGGCCAACATCCTGACGGAGCGTTTGCAGTCATTTGTCGCGAGCTTGTTGGGACCCGAGCAGACGTGCCGTGAGCTACCGACATCTGGTCCGCACGATCATAGAGGGTGTAGAGAACGACGAGGAAGCCACATGATCAGTTTACCTCAGTCCAAGGCATTCGATAGGGTCCGCCATCGGTACCTAGCTGCTGTCCTGCTGGTCGCCGGATTCGAAGCCGCCTTCTCCAAGTGGAACAGCCTCCTGTATCGTCCCCTCCCAGTGCTGTGGTACAGGTGAACGGGAAGCAGTTGAGCGCTTTTGCGCTGTCTCAGTCAGGGTTGTTGGCTGTCGTTCTTTATGCTTTGGCGTTGGAGCCCCTCCTTCGCAGGCTAAGAGACTTGGCGTGTAGCCCCGGCCTACGCGG